ACTGTGAGTTCTTTCAAACTAACTGACAACAAGAGGTCAGGCTTCCTGGTGCCGTACGGCTTCAGTGCGAAACACTGAGAGACCGCACCTTTATTTAAAAGGCTGTTATACTCACAAGCACTGAATAGTTAACTCAAAGGAGGTCAGCGAGGGGTATGGGTGCCCTAAGAACGCTCCATATTCCAACATCACAGCACAACCACACAATAAAGCTTTTTCAAAAACAGGCTCGATTTAGGACTTTAATGAATCAGGGGCCATAAAGGGGCCACAGTTTACACAGAGGGGCCAGTTGGATGTCCAACATCCATGCACAATTCCTGACCTCAGGAAGGTGCACGCTCCTTGTTTACTGTTGGCCCTACAGTCACACATCATTAAATATGTTTTAAAAATTGTTCAAGCACACAGTGGACTTAAAAAAATCTTTTCATATTTGTTTGTATTGTTAGTAAATGACTAGTTTATGTAATAAAAAAATCTCCTGACAGGACAGGGGCAGTTCAGGAGCATATCAGATTTGAGATGGTGCCAGTGCCCCCTTGAACCAGCCCCTGGATCCACTCCTGCCTAAACACCATGTAGAAAATACACAAAAGTGCAGCTATTCTGGATTACAGATTTTTGTGTCTCTCCTGTCAGCAATCAAAAGCCTCTGTCACAAGTTCACAGGACAGAACGAGCAGCTACACGTTCACGTGAAAATGTTTCAGGTCGAGCATAGCCGCCCTTTCTCTCTTTATTCCAATATTTAGTCCAGCCTGTTACTCAGTTCTGCACCATCCCGCTCCTTGTTCATTTACTACATCCCAAACTCCTGCAGCACCATCTGAAATCAGTCAAATGTAAAATTTACACAAGGGTTGAACTCGAGAATTCATAGATAATTCAAGTTGCTCCAGCAGCAGGCATAATCCTTTCAGCTCTGCTAACACAGCTTTTATACATTTCATAAAGTATCAACAAGACAGTCAATTTCATGGCAGGGCATTATAAGCATCAGCTGTAAATACAAATTATGATACATCCTTAAGGACTGACCCAGTCCAACAACAAGACTGAAAATCACTGCTCATAAAGGTCAATTCTCACAAACTGAACCCGCTCCCTGTCAACAGAACAGAACGTAGCCGACACCGTTTCTTCATAAACCTGCATGAATACGGAATGTTCCAACTTTGTGTGCAGCTAGAGCGAGCATTAGTCAACACGAACACATCCACAGTCGGTCTCCTGGCGGCAGCACAGTGCAGCTCATGCATAAGGAAGCAGCGAGCAGCAGGCCTTTGGAGACATTGTGTGGTCAAGAGAAGAGAAGGGGGGGGGGTGTTAGTGTGACGACGGCCACTGTCTCTTGGTTTGCTGTTATTTCCTCTAAATGTCAAGGGATGGATACTGAATATAAAAATGAGCATGCACTGTATTTGCTGTATGGTGCACATCTGGACTGTATTTCAGGGTGAACACAGAGGACTGTTGGCCTTGAGGACTGACAGTGAGAAACTGGTGGTCCAATAATCTTAATTGATGTTGTCCATCACTAATAGAAAAACAGTGTCCACTGACTCGCTGCTTTTTTGTGTGTTCAGAAATGAAAAAATGTCACTTTACAGATGAATCTAAGTGATGCCGAGGCCTGGAACAGATTTTTTTATGTTCCACATGTTGAGATGTTGAGATCAAAAATTAGATTTGGTATGTGACACTGAAACAAGACACACAAATCAAAGTTTGCAAAGGTCCCGTTTCCTGTCGCTGCATGTTTGAAAACCCACCGACCCCGAAAACAAATGTCAATATTGACTCTAAACGCCTGCGAGGCACAAACCAAGTGCAGGTCGACTGCAAGACACATTTTATTTTTATTGGATCATGAAACAAGTGCCATGTCAGGGCCAGCAGCAATTCTTCCAGTGCCATCCTAAGAGGATGCAGCCTGATGGTTACGTTATTTCCAGCACGGAGAGGAAAATTCCAGAAAGCTTGTCTGTGAAGAGACAGTGTGACAGCTTCATTTTCTTTCTCCGTGTCAACCGAGCAACATCTGACTGACTAATTTAAGAATTAAAAGGTATAAATACTGTATTGATGTGAAAATGTGACTAAAAGTCGTTACATACAAATTCACACTGCATCCTCTTGTAATCACAACTGATAAATTGATTCAAACAGTATTTGGTGGAGGTCCGCTGTTTATTTTATGATTCTCCTCCGTACTCGGGCCGATATCACATCCAATCATAACAACACAGGCCTGCAAATCCATAGGGAACTAAAATAAAGCTGATTACCAGATGAGATGGAAAACTGTTTTTCATTTAAGCAAAAAATGAAATGAACGGCTCTGTTTGTCATCACGATGTAGAATGAGGATGAATAAATGATGGTGCTTTGTACCTTTATTTACATTTTCTCAAAAATAAAATGTTTTCCCAATATCATGTTTGTCAAGTACATTTTTTAAATTTCTGATTAATGTATATGGATTCCCTGGAAACGGTTGCTATGCAGGTTTAACATTTTAACAGGACGTCCCTGTGACAGCTTGTTCAATCAAATTGCCATTTGTTCCTGAAACTGCACTTGAGCTGTTTTCAATGGAGCGTAGCTTTGAAAATGGTTTTCTAAAGACTAGAAAGAAAATATTAGTATCACAACTTTTAAATACTCAGTATGGCCTCAACAGGTCTTCTCAGAATTTGATTTATAAATGTTTTAACTTAATTTTAAGTCACTTAAACTTTAATAATTATCATTTGTAAAATAGATTTTAGGAAGATGGTAACTGTGCAGCGTTACATCGAGGGGTTTCTAATAATTCATCAGTTTTCACTCTGCACATTTACATACATATAAGTCTCCCAGCACTTAGTCTTATCCTTGTTATATACATCAAGACATGATATTTCAATAGAATACAAGAAACCAGATTATTCACATACATGTATATATGAAAATCTACATGCAACTGATAGTTATGATACATATAAAGAGTGAACACTGCGCAAACAAAATCGCAAAAAATATATTACAGTCTATTTTTGGTGAACGTAACACACACAACACAAACATGTTGATATGCACATCTCTTAGAATAATTGTTTTTGGGTGCATTCCCTGTATTCATTTTAATTATTATGGCAAATTATGTCCAACTGTGTTCTATCATTAAGCTGTTTAATGTGTGATTTCTACAAACCCACAGTGATGCATGGATCAGGTTCTTTCCTGAGAAGTCAGAGCTGTTTGCAGCGTAATTTTCATTTAATGAAGGTTATAGTTTATTTTAAAAAACCGCGCAGCTTCCAAAATATAGTCGTGCCAAATGTTTTACGCGCTTCATCCTCTGCAATAAATCCCTCTATGCTCTATCAAATTACGACTGATGTGTCTCTTCTTCTCATGAACTCTGACGGAGCTGTGTGATGAGCGAGCTGCTCTTTAAAAGGCTCTGATCAGCTTTCATTATTTATCAGTGTTACAGGCCGTCGCTCTCTCTGAGCACAGACGACGGGAACTCACTCCTGCAGGTTCAGATGCTGATGGTGGCCTCAACAACTATAATCATCCAGCGTATCTGATGACAAGTTATTGTGTCTTAAATCAGTGGTTCTCAAATCAGGGTTGGTGACACGCGGTCAGAGGGTTTGTGAAGTCACCAGAGTTAAGCCACACTAATAAGATGTTTTTCCATAAGAGGGGTGCCTTGGTTTATTTCTTATAGTATCAAAATATGGGTTTTCTATGTTGACATGGTGAAAATAGGTTTTAATAAATGTAAATCACTCTGACAAATGTCTCTTGTGCCGTTCCTTCACATACTACAAGTTAAAAAATAGGCTATGTGAAAATGATTCCAAGAGTCATGCATGAGGGGAGTCCCCCAGATATTCTGTCTTGTATGCAGAGGGTCTTAAGCTGAGAAAGAATGTAGTCACTGTGTTTTAAATGATCAAGAACCAACCATCTTCTCAGAGACAGCTTCTCTCACTGTGCTCCTGTTTGTAGTTTCACAACAGCCTGACAGGGGGCGGCATTCGCTTCACTGTGAGCTCATGGGGAATTTAGGAATTCTCTCTGTAGCAGAACACCCGGTGTCATCCAGGAAACTTGTGTCAGCAGATGAGTCAGTACCTGCGTTCACATTTACACTGAGGTCTGCTGTGCATCAGCCACAGGCCTTCGTGGAGTCTGACCCAGCTCCATGTACGGAGTCTAATTTTGAGCCTGGGGGCTGCAGACCAAGGGTTTGCTTCAGCAATTTGGGGCAGAGTGTGCATCAGCTTCTGGGCAGCAAATCACACTGACATACTGCTGGCAAACAAGGAGCCTCCCTCACTTTATCAAGAAAAAACTCATAGAAATAGCCAGGGTGAGACTGTGTGAGATCATACTGAACTGCATTAGAATAATCTGTCAAGAATCTTTATGAAAAATATTCAAATATTGTTCAATCTGCGCAGGGCTTCGTATCAAGAACAAAGCAAACCATGAAACACACTCCTGTAAAAATAAACATTTGATATAGAAACAATGAGGAGAGTTGATCCTAATACTGAGAGATACTTGTCTGTCGACGTGTATGTTTGTCTTAGAATTATATAGAAAAAAAAACTTAAGAGCCTGGACTCTTCTGACCTAGTTTCATTTCTACAGTGAGCAAAGCACAGTATGAATCAAACATGGGCAGCAAATTACACTGACAAACTCAATATTTCACTCTCACTGGAGTTTAGACACTTTTAGAGAAAAGCACAAGTGTGAAACTCAAACTCAAAAACGAGAGATTTAAATGAAAGGATTACGTTGTGAACAGACAAACGATAAGAAACCATCAGCGTGAGAAAAATGATGTTGACAAATGTTCACCTGCTTCCAAACCTGTTTGAGATGGTCGTTGGGTTGTGTGAGAACAGCAAATTTTAAAAAATCCTAAAAATGAAATGTTGACCATCTGCTGCTTAGGTCAGTTTGAGACACGATGAGACAAATCAAAAATGTGTCGATAATTTGATTTATAAAACACAAAATGCAATAAAGCGACAGAGAAAGAAGTCTTGTGTTTCAGTCACACTTTTCCAAACATACAATTTTTGAGGCAACGAGGAATCAAATCACAAACCGAACATCTAAACAATTCATAACAGACCGGGGCCCGTCCATTCGGCATCTATACCACTTATCCTCTGAGGGGCGCAGGGGGATACTGATACTGATACACCCACCGGGACTCTCAGACCACAACGCAATATGAACTATTAATTATGTGGCAGTGGAAACATGATTTTAAACTCTTCAGAGAGAACTGGAACTCCAGCCTCTAGCTGCTGGGAGTAAAACTGGGAGAGGATGTCTGGCAGGTTGAGTGTTGATAAAAGCTCCGACCTGTCACAGATATTAGAAACACAACAGCTCTGAGTTTGCTGAAGTCTTGGTGAAACACTCGAGTCCTTAACATTATGGAACTCAAGGTCTCAGGCTGAGTCGCACATTTATTCTGCATTCTGAATGGTTTGATTGTGGTAAGATTGGCTCTCAGTTCATAAGCCCATGGGCTTCTTGCCTTTGTTCTTAGGGGTCCTGGGTTTTCTCTCACATTTCTTGTCCGAGTGTTTGTTCTTGAGATTGGCTTTAATCTCAGCTTCCCACTGTTTTCTCACCATCGTGTACAGCCTCATGGTGGCCTGTGCGTCTTGGACCTGGACAACAGAGAATGAAAGAAGAGACAGATGAAGACCGAGATGTTAGATTTTGTATTTTTGATTAATAATGTTACTACTGTCAAAGGAAGGCATTTTTTGTGGGTTGAATTGTGTTGAAAATGACAGGAGAGAGTTTTGTTTCACATGCTGATGACTTACAGATGAATGTTCACCCTGCTGCACCTTCACGTTGAGTATTTCTCTACAAAGAACTTTCAGCGAGGGTCGTCCAGTCTGAAACAAGAAAAAGATCATCGTCAGTATCACTTCACTTTCATGACTGAGTCAAAGATCTGCTGCTGAGTGGCTAAAAGTGATGTGTAGTGATGTTTCATTCATGATGTTTGTGCACATGCTCATATAATCACCTTGACTACCTTCTTGAAAGGTTTATACTTCTGAGTGTCCCGAATTTTCTTTTTTGGATGATCCAAGAGTAAAATCTGAAACAGTGGTTTAAGGCTTGTTAATAAATTCTCACATTTATTTGGTAAATCAAATTAGTTTCCTCTCAGATTATACACCCTGGCTACCTTTAAGTCATTGTGTATGGCGTGTCCAACCACGATTCTGCCCTGTAGGATCTCAGCTACCTCCCTCTGCACAGCGCGCACATCCTCTCCTGCGGTGAGGAAAACATGCATCATACATTTCGCGATTGAGGACGATTTTAAAGCAATCATTCACAATACAATACATTCCACAACTCACCATTTTTGATGTCCTGTGGTCGGATGCCACTGACGGCTGTCCTGTAGTCCGTCACCTTCTCGGTGGGTTTTACGTATTTGTCATAGATGCATTTCCCAAAGTGGTTCACGAGGGACACGCGCGCCAAGATGCTGTCCTCTCCGTTCGGACCCACTCCCACCATCTCACAATCAATAGCCACAGCTCTGGTGAGGCTGATGATGGTGAACCAGGGTGATAAAAGAGGAAAGTCATCACTATGACGTCAAACTGCCTGAGGAGTTAAATGCTGTTACATATACTGACAAGAGTATCTATCTGTTCATCCATCCATCCATCCAGTAAGGGTCATATGGGTGTTTTTTGAAGTGTTAAAAACAGTATGAATTTGTTTTAGAATCAAGGCAGCTACTGGGTCAGAGTTGCATTCACAAACTACACAAATGTGGAAAGTCAACACCAAACATCATGAAAAAGATCATTTGCATTTTGTATTTTCATTGCAGTGCAAAGCTGCAGTTTGTCAGCAAATCTACATCAAAACATTATGGCAGTATTGGATTTGGATGTTTCTTTAAGCATCAGTGTGGTGAATCTCTTTAATACGTCGACTTTTTATTGTAGTCGTCATAAAACAGACAGTGCTGTCTGATTATTTCATCCATAAATGGTTTCTCATTCTGAAAAATGCTTAATATCTCAATAATTAACAATATCATTAGTTTGAAATCACAGATTATATCACTAATTACTAAAATCCCAAAATCATCAGCATGTGTCAGTGACAAGTTGAAACTGCAAATTGGTTAATTGTGACATTAGAAAATAAATGGTTATCAGTGGCTGCCATGAAGGTGTAAAAAACACATTCAACAATCTATAACACTATACAAAGGGTTGGTGGTAATAATAACTATATATGCAACGTTAAGTAAATGTAAAAAACTACAGATATGGCAGTATGGTCCTTTAAAAGCACAAACACATTGTCTCTGCAGCTAAACTGGTGTGAATGCTTTGTTCAGGTCACACTGGATTATCAGTTTGTGACTTAAACAGGTTGTTTATGGCTGAATTAGGAATTCAAACATTGTTATTCTTATAAGAAATTAATATGGCAGTAACAAAGTGTCATACCGTCTTTTATCTTTTCAAGAATGACAAAATGGGATCTTTGTATAAAAGAATGTTGAAGCCCATCTGTGAGACACCAACACGAGACTGACTTTGTCGTCACTCACCCCTCAAAGGCTTTCTCCTTGACCAGGGCGCTCTCTGGGTCCTTCGACGGCCTGATGCCCTGCTTCTTCCTCATGATCTCCGCTGCCTCGGCTCCCACTGTCGCCTCAATGTCGTCGGGGTCCACGTCGTCGAACCACAGGTCGTCTCTACAGGAGCAGAGAACAGGGTGGCGTTAGCAGTCGGGATTATTCTTCACCTAAAATACCAGCAGAAGTTAAAGCGGTGTGCGTTTACTCTGTAAGTTTCGTCTCTTCGACCACAGGCTTCTTTCTCTTGGCTGCGTGCTCGCTGCTTGACTTTCCAAAGTCTCCTTTCCTTTTTGGGGCAGTAGACTGTGTTGTCTGCGAGACATCAGGAACCTTCAACTTGTCCTTGACGACAACACTTTGAGACGTGCTTTTGTGTGTCCCTTTTTTCCCAGCATCCCTCTGCCCTGGACCGGTGTTATTGGTCTTGGAAATATCTTTAGCAGAGTTCTCTTTCGCCTTCTTTTTTGGCAGAGCTCCATTCTGATGCTTCGGTGTCACTGGCGGTTTCTGCTCCGGCGGAGTGGATTTTAACTTCTGTGGAAGATTTGCAAAAGTTTGTGAAGGATCTTCAGGAAAGAACTGAGAGTGTGAAGACAACATCAGACACAGATCTCACTCTTACCTCCTGCAAAGCTTTCCAGTTGGCGGAGAAGTGCTGGGCATCTGTTGGAGGAAACACTTGGTCGCTTGGACGAGGCTTCCTCGTTTTTACCTTCGCCTCAAACCAGAATTTATTTTTCTTCCTCGCGTTGCTGTTTTCATTTTTCGACACAGGCTGTTTTGCTTTGGCTGCAGACTCTTTTTTCTTCGGCTTCACCTTCGACATCATGGAGAATTCTTGAGGATTGTTTCTAAGTGTGTGTTGCTCTCGGTGGTGTCAGTCCTCAGCCACGCTGGACCATCGCAGCTCCGTCACTGCGCAGCGTTAAAAAGGAAACGATCAATAGCGTGTCACTAAACAGTAACTGAAGACGGAAGTTAAATACTTACGTAGAGAAATTGTCTCATAATTTCCTTATTACCTGATAAATCTGCTCTCTACTAAACTCCAGGTGCTCGTGAACCATGCTGCATCGTTTATTTCCGATGTGTGCAACACCTAATGTGTCCGACACAAGATGGCGTAACATGCCCTCGACTTCTTATTCGCAAAGCTAAGAAACACAATCCTTTGGGTGTATTTTTAATCTCTCTTATTGTTTTGGATTTTATGTAGAACATTACTACATGAAATAAATTACGTGCTAATGTGTTTTTGGTATTTTAAATTCTAAAAGCGGAACACTGTACACGACGACAGTTTCACATCGAGCTACATATGACGTGGGACAACATGTAGGCAAGATAGCTGATCGCCGATAGTGTTTACAGAGGTTCTGAGTTCAGGAATAGAAGGAGTCTGGTGGAATTGTGATTATAACGTGTTTTTGTAGTTTAAGATGAGTCCGCTTTGTTTATATTGTGGTAAAAAATACACATAGAGGACGTGAATATCCAGAGTTCAGTGAAAAGATGGCAACAGGAAATGTTTTCCAGGAGATCTTTGTATGAGAGCTGTCGACAGTAGCGAGCTGAACAGCATTTCTACGTCATTTACAGGTGAGTGACTCCACTTTACTTCCTGTCTGAATTTAAGGTCGTGTCGTGTGAGTCGTTCCTCACGTGTGTGGCTGATGTGTGTTTTCAGATGATGGTGGAAAACTCCCCCTCTCCTCTGCCTCAGAGAGCCATCTATGGCTTCGTGCTTTTCCTCAGCTCACAGTTTGGCTTCTGTAAGTCTGATCATTCACTTTGTTTCTTAACTTGATTCACTGATTATTATTTCTCTGTGTTTCTGCTTTGCTTGAACATTCTACAGATGTCGGTTAATTTTGCAAATAAATACGACCCAAATGTCACTGTCAGGTTATTGGGATTGTAAATGAATGGAGTATCTTGTCTGTAATGTCTCTCCACAGTTCTGTATTGTCTGTGGGCTTTTATCCCTGACGAGTGGCTTCATTCGATAGGACTGACGTACTGGCCTCAGAAGTGAGTGGAAAACAGATAGACATTAGTTTAGATATTAGATCAGATATTAGTTATCCATATACAGTTTGCTGAAACATTTTGTCCGGTGCAGATATTGGGCTCTGGCGGTGCCGATCTATCTGCTGGTTGCTTTAATGATCTCTTTGCTGTTGCTGTTTGGAGTCAACATGAACAACACAGCTCCACTTGACTCTGTGGACAACATCACAGGTGAGGACATGTCCACATATCATTGATAAAGATTTGTATTACACTGGCTACTGATATTAATACTACTACCACACTATACAGTAATTAGACCTCTAATTTCCTCAGCTACGAGTAATAGTAAGAACTATAAAGATTATCCAATAGAGTTCTCAATGGGAACTGGAAAAGCATCTTAAAAGCTCAGAGTATGATGTACTGTACTGTTACTCAACACCTCGAATGTCTCCTTCCTATCACAGATGTGTATGCCCGAGGCCAGATGACAGAAAGCAACCACAACGGGCAAATACCCAGATTGAGAGATGTTTCCATCAGCGAAGTCAACAAAAGGTTCTACTTGTCGCCCAAATGATGCCGAGCAGAGACTGATTTTTGCTGGAGGGAGAGAAGAAGTGAAGCTGCTGGGGATTTGCTGTAGTGTCAGTGTTTACTCCAGGTTTATAAAGGAAGAATAATGCTTGAATGATTTATCCAGGAACAATGCAATGTGGCTCAAAGGGGGACTGAGTGAGCCAAGTTTTTCTGATGGAACACAATATCACAATTGTCTCAGCAACTTGTCATTTAAAGGAAAAAGAATGAGGCAGCACTATTTTCAATAAATTTGAGTTTTTATATATTGTATAACTTTGTGCAATAGCGATGAACGATAATATCTTATAAACTTCACAAGAGATCTACAGTTAATAAGTCGGAGGTGAAGGTCAATTTGTATTTCTATCTTTTCACCCATGCTTGTTTCTTTGCCATGATTGTTCAGCACTTTGGCTCAACCCCTGTTGTTTTTAATGTGTTATATAAATAAATCTGACTTGACTCGATGCCCTAATGAGTGAAAGAAGAGCAAACGTAACAATTTATTTAAATAAATGGGGAAACAAATGATGCTTTGGCCACTGGGTTTATGTTATGATTGTTTGAATTAAAAATAAATGTAACATGCATTCACACAGATACAATTAGTACGGAAAAGCAATAACTACAAATTAAAAGAGCAGGAGCACATGTTTGTTCATTGATTTATTTGGATATAACTGCATTTGTTGGTAGTTTGTATTCCTGACCACAGGGGGGCGATTACGCACAGCTGTACGCACAGCCAAAACATTACAGAAGAAGACTGTGCCTCCACGACACTCGCCACTTCTCTACTTTTCTCTCTCATCCGGTCATCGTGGTCGTATTTTGTGTTTTGTGACACATGGCCTTCGCTCTGCCGGTGTGGCTCGCCCTCCAGGAGGAGCTGCTCAGACACTCGGAATCGGACAGCGACACCCGGAGCTGCTTCGACGACTTGGACGATGACGCTTTGTTCCAGATGTTCCACCTCACCAGACCCTGCCTCACCTTCATCACAGACGCCGTCCGGAGCCGCATGAAGACGCAACCTCAGTTGAAACCGGAGCTGCCCCTGGACGCCATGGTCATGCTGGCTCTCAACTATTACGCGCACGGCATCTCCTCCGCCGCCGTGCTGCAGAGAGTCGGCCTGAGCCAGATGGACCAAGCCGCCGCCGCCATCGCCGCCGTCTCCGGGATCATCGCGGGCATGTCCGAGCAGTTCGTCTCGTTCCCGCTGACCCCAGACGCCAAAGCCAACGTCGCCGTGAAGATCAAGGAGCTGTGCGGGATCCCCAACGTGCTGGGGATCCTGGCTCCGGCTCACTTCAAGATCCGAGCGTCCCCGTACGAGAGGAGCTCCTTCAGGTCCTTCGTCAACACCCTGGGCTACACGTCCGTGGTGAGCCAGATCATCTGCGACTCCGAGGGCAACGTCCTCAGCGTGGAGAGGTGCTGCGTGGGCAGCACCGGCGAGCAGGAGATGTGGGAGTCGTCGGACAAAGGGAGAGAGATCGAGAAGGAGCTGCTCGGACAGTTCTGGGTGATCGGTAAGATGACAATCAAAAACAAGAGGCCACGCGTGGAAGAGACACGTTCGATCATGTGCAAAGTGACACATAAAGGGATGGTCCATGCAAAAATGAAAATGCACTCAGGATCTTCTCACCACAAAACACTTCTGGAGTGTCAGGGGTAAATAGCGTTGCAGCCAAATCCAATACAATTGAAGTAAATGGTGACCAACGTAAAAAAGAACCAACAGAAAATGCCTCCGTACTGCTCCTGTGGTGTCATCCAAGTGTCCTTTAGCCCCACCATTCAAATTCGACTATAGAAACAGCATCATTTACACCATGTTTTAATTCTAAATGCTCTCTGTGATCCTCCTCCTAGTTACTCTTGCAGTTCTCGCTGATCTAAAACATGGTGTATAAGTCTAATGAATGTTGGTGCTGGGATGACACCATAGGAGCAGTATGAACACTCCATGCACACTCCAAAAGGGTTTTGTGGACTCAAACACTTCACCACCCCTCCATCGGCACAGTGGTGAGTAGATCCTGAGTGCATTTTCACTTTTGGATGAACTATCCCTTTAACCTGAGACCTATATGTCTGTATGTGCTTTTGTGTAATCCAGTTAAAACACACACACAATGCTGCTTTAACATGATAGAAATTGTTTTGTGTGAGTTTCTGCACAGATGAGTGACTCAATTTGGTGTAATCACTTCTGTGAGACTGTTTCCTCACAATCAGCGTAGTTCACATTAGTAGATGACATGACAATACAATCTGTAGCAGTAATATTTTAACGGTCTTAATATTGTATTGTCTTGTGTCTCTCTTAAAGGTGGAAGAGGATACCACTTGAGCAAAAATGTCCTGCCTCCTCTGGCAGCACCAGCGACTGACAGCGAGAACCGCTTCAACGAGGCCCACGCAAAGATCCTGAACGTCATGCGGAAAACGCTCGGCTCCATGAAGAGGCGCTTCAGGTGTCTGATGCAACTCGGCTTCGCAAAAGAAGCCACTTTGAACAAAAAGTCCAACATTATCAAGACGTGCTGTGTCCTGCACAACATCGCAATGAAGTTCTCCGTCCCTCCCCCGCCCGCAGCGGGTAAAATTGAGCCCCTACATCAGGGCAGGCAGCTCGCAGCTACAGGAGAGGTCAACACAGAGGTCCTGCAAGCTCGACAGAAAGTCATCGAGAGTAGCTTTTCTTTACCTTCCAGTAGCTCGGACCCGCCGGGTGACAACCCAACAGAGGAGAAAGAGTGAGGTGTGTTCTCGGAAGCAGGAGAGGAGCATCGTTGACACATGAAGGAGAAACACTGGAACTGAAACACAGCACACGTCGCTGGAGTTTCTCAGTCTGAGGCTCGTTGCTCACTGTTACGCTTCAGTTTTGAAACCAATGTGTAACCATGACAGCATTCAGTTTTTTAAACGTTTGCAGACTTGATGAAACACATTCAGGTATCTGTTAATACAAAATATTTTATTTCTTGTACAAAAGATAGAAGAGGTTTTCTATTTACATTTGTTATTTTTAATAAATGTAGTTTTTTAAATTGTTGTGGTTTTCTCCCTCACATAACAACAATAACAATATTTGGCAAATTTAAGCAAAAATGATCAAGGTTTGCATTTATATAGAACATTTATAACTCAAAACTCCACATTTACAGTTTATAACAAAATATAGTATATTAACTTTAGGACTAATTTTTTTTCTCTAAGTGCAAAAAAGTCTATCTTTGTCCACGGAACTCTTTGAGTGCAGTGGCGTTGACATATATCATTTCAGAATTCTCGTATATGCTTTCTTCTGTCCTCTCATTCTGCTGCAGACAGTCCATGATGCATTGGTGCAGGAATATGTACTGGGACTGAAAAAAAATAAGCCAGTGTTGCTGGTTACTTAGAGTATAGAGTCCTAGCTGTATGTACACACTGCATTATGTGACACTTACATGCAGAGAAGGGGTTAAACATTCATTGACAAAGAGTATGGATATGTTAACAAGCCTCAGAGTTAATTAGGACCAAGCTTTTGTGTTTGTTCTCATAAAATAGTTGTGTAAAGAAAGTAAAGGTTGTTACTCATAAAACTAATACAAATTATTTTGTATAGATTAAGGTGTGGCCCTTACATAGATAAAGCACAATCCACGGACACACAAAAAAAAAAAACGAAGATCTTAACACATGGACTTGTGGATAATAATCATGACTATCAAAGTGACAATATTTGATTGATTGGAGCTATTTATTAAAGATTGATTGCAACTTAAATTGGATATTAATGGGATGCTACATTTGGACTTAGAAATTTAACCACATCTGACAAATGCTTTTGTATCCTGGTATCATGTCCCTAGCTGTGTCCAAGAAAATCAACCAAGATCCGACTGTTCCTCAGAGAAATATATGAGTACTTAAGGAAGCAACTTAATATGTTCAGCTTTACCTCTGTCTGCACCATGTGTGATCGACTTAGTCTCATCTTGTGAACAAAACCGTTGATGCCCACTGCTTCATTTTGGTCGAGCTGCTGAAGCAACACATCCAGGGCGATGAGGGTGCCTGTCCTCCCCACTCCAGCACTAGGAGAGAGACAACATGGCAAAAGGTGAACAGTTGATCATCATGTAACAGTCCTGATGGTTTCTATGTGGAGGTCAAACATCAGATATTCATCAAAGAATCATTTCAAATATAAAAAATTCTGAACAGAGTTTTGTGTATTTGAAACAGCAGCAGCTGTTCTGGTTCCAGAAGCCGGGGAGCATGGGTAATATCTTCCGCTCAGTGGTGTTTCAGTTAGGTGGGTGGGACTACACAGTCAGAGATCTGGTCTGGCTTAGTTTTTCTCCACATGTCACCCAATTAATCTTTTGGACATGGACCCCAACAGAATGAATCCCAAATGTGTGGCTGCAGAGTTGTTGCTCAGTAAAAGTTTCATAGTGTTGCTTTCAGAGAATCACGAGTACCTGCAGTGAACTACAGTTGGTGCTCCGGCCCCTTGTCTCTCTATGTGCCGTCTCACCAGTCCTCTGAACTGGATCAGGTCTTTAGTGCCCTGTGGTACTCCGTGGTCGGGCCAGGCTGTGAAGTGGAAATGTCTCACGGTGCGCTCCTCCAACGTGTTTCTCTGTGAAGATGATTCACAAAGAGGAATTCAAATACTGTAGCGTCACATCTTGAACCGATATAGGGGCAGGTAAATGATAGGTCTTCGGAAGTTGTTATCATGCTTGACAAGAATTGTCTCATGAACAGCTAAATACATAACACTGAACACTTTTCTTTCTTTGTTTTGCTTCAGGGCGACATGCTGTCACCCAACTTATTTAGTTATGCCATTAACATATTTTAGAAGCATTTCATACATTTGTCAAACTAAATTCCCTCAATGTCCAGTGAGGCTCCTGGTGCTCAGATCTGGAGATGATCACGAGTTCTCCGTAATGACAAGGCTTGCTGACTGCAGGCCAATATTGTTCACACTTGGTCTAGGAACAGGAAACAGAAAAATAAAAGTTAGCAACGAACAAAAGTCTCAGGTCTATGTCAGCGCTTTGTGCTGAGTTATAAACCTGCACAGAATTACTTCCACAGTCAAGTTGAAATATTTTTATCATTCAACACCAGATTACTTATATGAGCAAATCATTTACACCAGCTCATGCACATTTTAAAGGCAGCTTTCCCTATAAAAATCTGGCAATGAAATATTCTGAGCTTCCTGGAGACTCACCCGTCCTACTTCGACGCAGTTGGTTAGCATGACGATGCCTTTCACCTTTAGCTCCCAGATCATTCTCCAGAAATCATCTACCGTGGAGGGCAAAGGACCCTGAGTGGCGATGTACTCGTTTTTGCAGTTGAATCCCTGAAAAGCACATGTCAAAGTTCACGTCTCTTGCTTTTAGTTCCCATATTGTTCTGTGTGAAATAAAACACCACTTTGTGCTCATGAACTCAGAAGGAAAATTGCCAGACGTCAAATAAATGTGCATGTGCAGATGTTTTAGCAGCTATTTGCCTGGAACTGCTGCAACTTCACTCCAGAGAGTTTAAGCTTGTCAAACCATTCCTATCTTATGAAATGCTTTTTTATTAATAAGTTCACCATAAAATAATAATGGTAATAATAAACATTATTTATTAAAATAATACCTACTGGTATGTAATTGGCATTAATGTAGTCAGAGGTCCCTTTGGATTTTGAAGATGTTAGTTTCACTCGACTCCAGTTGTCTAGGATGAAACAAGTGAGGATGGTTTAACTGCAAATCACCACAGTGAAGAAGATACTGCTCCAAACATCGAGGTGTGGAACATTGTATGTCTCTTATGTGGAGCTAAGACAGGCTTACATGGCAGCACGTTCTTGAAACGATTCTTATTTTGGTTCTCAGGTCGAACAGCTGCTTTAGGTGTCTGTTCTTTGCCGACAAGCTGGAGGTGCTGCGTGATGATCAACAGAAAACAGATAAAACAGATATGATTTTTACAATCCTGAACAGAAACAGGAAGGAAATGAAGAGGCAGAACAAAATACATATATTTTTATTGCACCTCATATTCTTGGCTGAAACCTCTGTTGTCATCTTCACTTAACTGGTAGAAGTGGCCCGGAAAGTCTACTACAGGTATAGTTCTAATAGAAAATTTAAAAAAGGGTTTACATGTCACATTGTACACATAATGACATTGACACAAATTTCTCCAAATAAATATTTACATTAATCTTATGGTATCATTAAATGAATAGTAAACAACAAATGTACCTCATCATGCAATAATCACCTCTGCCAAGGAGATTGTACTTTTGTCTGTATATTTGTTTGTTGTTACCAGGATTATGCAAAAACTACCAAACTGATTTCCATAAAATTTTGCTGAGGATCCAGAAACTCTTGTCATTTTCTTCAATGTTACGAGGTAGAGCAATTTTCAACATTTCTGTCAATCCTCAGTGGATTATGAGTCCAAAAATTCAAGCATGTTTACAGGAGTAATATCTATGAGTGTGTGTAATGTGGTGCAGATCCAAATAGAAATCTGGATCTATTGAATTTAAATGTGGGTTCATTGGGGACTGTTGGGCCTTGGTGGAGATATGCACTCTGCCGAGTCCCATTCTGGTTAATTAACTGCTTTTAATACACAGACGGAGACAGACAGTGGTGTTCTCATCAGCGGAGATAATTTAACGTTTACTCACCTGTAGCATTCCCTGGGTAGTTTGGATCCACCAAAGGATTGCAGTTTTCTGTTGTGGGAAGGAATCGGGTTCACTGACAGAGCACAATCCAGGGACTTTTAAGATAATACAGTTTGTCGCTGTGGCAGAACTCACCTGATCAAATCTGGTCGTTTAAACAAAATGAAGATAACCATGAAGACCAGGGCAATAAGAAGCAGCACAGCAAAGAAGGAACATGCAATGACTCCTGCAGGGAGTAACATCTGGATTAATTGCTAGGACACACATCAGAAAAGTCCTTTATCTAGCCACTGGACAAACTAATCAATGAGTATAAAACCAATGCCAAAAAGCACAATAATGAGGAAATTGTGAGCATTTCCTTAAAATTCTATATCAGGAACCAAACTTAAATAGATACTCTGCACACAATAAAGTAATATAATCACTGTGACTCACCCCTTGGATCGGTAGAACACTGAAAAATGAAAGGTTCATAACTCCTCACAGTCCCAGAGAGGGAATCTAAAGACACCACATATGTTCTGGCAGGACGGAATCCAGATAGCGTAGTTTGCTGTTCCCCATTTTCAGGCAGTAAGTGAGTTTGGCCGCTCACGTTCACCTCCACTGCAGTCCACACACCGTCTGGTTTGTCCCAGACTATGAAGATGGAATAGCCAGCTTCCCAGTACTCACAGTGAGCACTTAATCTGGGAGGAACTGAGGGTAAAGACGAAAGATGCACAATCACAAAACATCATATAACACATGACAGCAGTGTAACAGTATGACTTCAATTCATTTATTTCATGACAGATATATATATATATGTTTTTAAATGAAACAGTAATATAATACATATTGTGTCTAATCATTTGTTGCAGCTCACATAGTCATGAACCACTTGTAATGAAGCCAAACTGGTGCTATGTGAATAATTGACTGTGGATAAAGATGGACGACATGACAGCTCCAGAATTAGAGCAATGAGGAATATCATCCTGATATTATTTGTGTGTTTACTTACGGACGGTCAGACTGTGGCGACATTGTTCAAAGCGAGTAGAATTTTTTTCGTACACAAGAGACACCTCATAGGTTGCACCAGGGTAAAGACCAGTAAACGACACATTGCCATCTGCAGGACTGACGTGAGTTCCGTTCACAGTTGCATTCGAGAACAAGCCTTGAACCATCCCTTGGATCGATGAGTTGGTAACGTGCCAGGCCACACTGGCACAGTCTATGGCTGAATTGGATGAGAAAATAACTTCAGACAAAACACTTCACTTGTTAAAGTGCAGAAATGAGAGGGACAGCCTGTATATACCTGTTACTGTGAAGCCCTCATAAGCAGTGCTGTTGAGTCCGGAGAACTGTGTGATCACGCTGAATAAATACTCTGTCCCAGGCTGCAGAGATGTGACTGAACTTGACACATTGGGGGATAAATCTGGGACGACTGTCACATCAACTCCATTAATCTGAAGTGAGTAGCTCCAGTCTTTCTCCACATTCTGCCACTGCAGAGTTACACTGGTCACAGAGCGTTCAGTCACGTGGACAAGAGACACCGCCGGAGGAACTGTTGGAAAGGAAGGAAGGTTTCACTCCCCACAAAACAAAATGTTTGCACTGTAACTTACACCCTTACACAGACAAACACTGTCACATTGTTAATATTTTCAGAAGCTGAAAAAGGTCAGTCACACAGTCGTAGAAGAGAGAGAAGTGAGAAAAAACATTAACATAACTTACCACCAATGTCAATATAACATTAAGCACACTTCAAAATTGGCAACACCATTCATATTTAGTGAAGAATCCATTAGTAGATGTTAATTAGACATATCACATCATACAGCTTTGTCAACGTAAAGCTATGTTGTTAAAACATCTTACCAGTGACTGCAGAGAGGTTCACTCCACTGCTCGTGACATTTTCAAACACAGTGAAGAGACTGAAATCATATTTAGTTCCACTGCTGAGACCTGAGATGGTGTGTTTCACTTGATCTCCCTCTGATGCAGTGACGTTCATCTCTCCTCTACTGGTCACAAGTGTATAAGTGAAGGAGCCGTTGACTTTGTTCCACTGCAGAGTGACACTGGTCTCATTTTGTCCAACAGATTTTAAGTCCTCTGCATTACGAGGAGCTGGGATATAGAGAGGCAGAAGGAAATGGAAAGGTTGTGTTTGCAGAGTTGTTATCACAGGTAGAAAGTTTAAGTCACTCAGGTCATCACAGCACAGAGATCTGTCGTGGTTCATGTYGTTAAAACATCTTACCAGTGACTGCAGAGAGGTTCACTCCACTGCTCGTGACATTTTCAAACACAGTGAAGAGACTGAAATCATATTTAGTTCCACTGCTGAGACCTGAGATGGTGTGTTTCACTTGTTGATCTCCCTCTGATGCAGTGACGTTCATCTCTCCTCTACTGGWCACAAGTGTATAWGTGAAGGAGCCGTTGACTTTGTTCCACTGCAGAGTGACACTGGTCTCATTTTGTCCAACAGATTTTAAGTCCTCTGCATTACGAGGAGCTGGGATATAGAGAGGCAGAAGGAAATGGAAAGGTTGTGTTTGCAGAGTTGTTATCACAGGTAGAAAGTCTAAGTCACTCAGGTCATCACAGCACAGAGATCTGTCGTGGTTCATGTGGTTAAAACATCTTACCAGTGACTGCAGAGAGGTTCACTCCACTGCTCCTGACGTTTTCAAACACAGTGAAGAGACTGAAATCATATTTAGTTCCACTGCTGAGACCTGAGATGGTGTGTCTCACTTGATCTCCCTCTGATGCAGTGACGTTCATCTCTCCTCTACTGGTCACAAGTGTATATGTGAGGATGTTGTCCACTTTGTTCCACTGCAGAGTGACACTGGTCTCATTTTGTCCAACAGATTTTAAGTCCTCTGCATTACGAGGAGCTGGGATTTAAGAGTTAGAAAGGAGAAGGTGTAACAATAATTGATATAAAAATTTGTCCCAAACAGTAAGTTGTATTAATGATTACAAGGAGCTAGCATGTATAGAAACACTAAGCATTAATCACATGACAATTTTGATATTATACTAAAAATATTGCAAGTTGCTTTATCATCTTCCTCAACTGATAAACATTGTAATGATATAGAAATAAAAATAATAATCTTAACATGTAAACACAGGCCAAGAACTTAAAAGTCACCGATCAGCAACAGCTTTAATGCTTAGTTCAGAGATGAGGAACTAATTTCTGATCTGGGGCCATTACATAATTCACACATATATACATGGCTGTCATAAGGTGAGATGTGAGACTCTCACTATAATAATAATCATTACAGATTTATGGTATTCAAATAAGTCTGCTTTATTATACCCGAAAATACTAACATGAAACTAAAGATAAAAGACATCGGCTCACACTTACAAGGTTTTGTTGTTGAAAGGGTTGTCTTTTGAGTTTGGAGTGTGCTTGTTGTTTCTATTGTTGTTGTAGTTGTCCCTGTTGTTGAATGTGGTGTTGATGAACTGGAGCCAGTGAAACCCTGAAAACATAAGATTTGATGAGGCACGAGAGAGAAATGACCTGAACCCAAAAAACATCCAAGTTTAGTTTTAGTAAAAAAGGTCAGCCATCTTCTGACTGTGGAGTTCACACAGAGCTCTTCTGCAGTCTCTAACTCATTTCTGCTTTTCATTGTATCTGTATCGCAATCTTCAAATATACAGCATGACTGTGTTCTGCTGTCAACAATTTCTTAACTTTGGAAATTTTAGAGACAAGTAGGAAATGTCAGACGCCAAATACAAATTATGGCACATAATTAATTTTTGAACTTTGTATTTCTTCTTCCAAATCAACCACAATAACAGCACCTAAAATTCAGACAATACAACGATTGACTTTTTAAATAAAATCAAATAATACACAGTAAATACAGATACTG